ATGAAGAAAGCATTGTACATGCGCCACTGAAAACGTCCAGTAGGATTAGGGGGAATTACTAAAACAAAAGAAAAACAGAAAGTCCACAATAACCAATACCTCGTGACTGTGAAGCTGCCAATCATTTAGACTGACAGTGAGTTTAGTAGCTAACTGCGCCATGGGACCACAGCTTCCAGTGCGAGAGCTACTGTGTAACTCAAGCTATGACCTGAGGACACACTGTGGACTGGAGATGTCAGAATCTATTGGATGTTATTTTTACAACTGAACGGGAATGCAATTTCCACTGCGGCCTCTCTCTCAGGGTCTTTTGTTTTGGGTAGAATTAAATGCTTTGGTGTTTTGCGCTGACAGCTAGATTCCTTCAGAGCTTGTGAGGTGTGAGGGGGCTTCAGGCGTTGCAGTCAGACCCTATTCTGTCCTTCGTAACGTCCCGCTGAGGGGCCCCACTTGATTAGACTGACTCATACAATCTGCTGGCTGCACAACAGCTGGAATTACTCACTCAGTCCTATAGCCCACAGAGCACAACCAAGAAGGGAAAAAAGTATAACTACTGAAATAACAATAAAAATAAAATTAAATAAAAAATAAATAAATAGCTGAATAGTAAATTGTAACCAAGAAAATTACATCTTACAGCATGATCAAGTTCTTCAAAATCATGCAGCCAGTTTCATTTACATTACACATTAGTTGAGACTGATGTGTTTGTCTGAGACCAACTGGCAATAATGACATTTTAAAGACGTATCCAATGACATAAAGTCCCCGCATTCTGTCGTGGGATGGCTGAATCACTCTGAGGTGCTAAACCACCTCTCCTGATCTTGTCACACATGATGCGTCTCCATGTTTTTGCTGCAGGGACCTTCATCACATGATACTGCTAATGCTCCAGTCTTCATCCTTCAAAGACACTGGAAATGTCGCCTCAGGACATTCAGATTCATGTATGTCTATGCTGACCTCAGAAAAGCCTGAAAGCCCCACTCCCATGATATACAATGAGCCCAAGACACATGGGACTCATCACTGGCAACGCACAGAAAAATGTAAACCAAATCTAAGCTACGAGAACACATTTGGAAGCATCTAACGTGATGTAAATGTAATTGTAATGTAAGCAAATAGCATTCAGACTCTTGTAGATTTCCACATTGCAAATTTGTTGTATCAATTTGGTGCCTTTGTAATGAACTTGCTGCCATTTAATTTAAATGACAATAAAATCTTACATATGCATCATCTACTTAAACTTAAAATATTGCTTAGGTTGTTAGGTCAAGTCTCCACATTTCTTTTTTCATTATCAAACACTCACTCACACACCACATTCAAACTAAGATTAGAGTCTTGCCAAAGGATGCAATGACTTGAGCAGTAATCAAACCAAAACCTTCTTTCGATGCTCTAACCTCACTCACAACAAGACAAAATGTGATCTTGAACTTTATCAGAAAGACCACATGGTAACATGTCGAAAGCATTATTAACTTGGTTTCAAAATGTTTAAATCATGATTGTGGTATCAAAATCTGTATTGAGTATTAAACTTGAGCTAAAAATGTAGTTTGTATTTTTCTGTCATGACGTTTACTACTATGACGTGCATTGAAAGAAATTAAAAAGGCAACTGCGAAGTGATTGAGTAAGACAAACAGCTCCAAAATATCAGTTTCAATCAAATATAAAAGCAGAACTATGAACCTTTCAGAATCCCATAGAATAGAGGGTGAACTCCGTGTGAGACCTCAGATGTACAGACCCTGGGGCTTGTAATGGGTGGGGGAAGCTTCATGGCGGCTGCACACAGAAACGTGATGCACTGCGCTCACACAATCGCCCATTGAGTGTCTCGTCTCCGTGATGTATGTCCATGTGACTTTGGGCGCTGTTCTGCCCCTCTGAACAGGTCTCTGCCTATGGGACCGCTTGTCGACAGGGGAACAGGAGCCCCCGGTACGGAACAGTGGAGGTGAGTGAAGTCAGGCTACGTAGGGAAAGCCCGGTTTGAATGAAACAGAGCCTGGGGCAGTCAGCGAGGTTAAAGATATATTAAAAAGGAAAACCTAGAGGCAGTGAGTTTAGTTATAGGCCATCGCCACTGGAAATCAAGACTTTGATTGAGAAGTCCCCTTTATTTGCAATATAGCGGCAATGCTAAAGAATGCATGGACTATAGATCCCACATTAAGGCCAAGCAAATGTCTCCTATTGATACAGACTTGAAAAAAGGACTGATGAATCACCACATCTGTGATTCAGGGAATGTTATTTTGGGAGTCCAGGATCTCAAGTATTGGAACAAGAAACAACAGCAAATGGTTTTCTTTTCACCACAAAGGTCAATAAATGCCATTTTCATTGATGTTTGGTCATTGTAAGAAGATTGTGGAGGCTGTTTGTGAAGGCAACCAGACATCAAGACCAATTTCACAAATTATTTAAACAAACAGCAGACTTTTCTTTTTGAGTAAAATATGTTTTGCCTCTTGTTTAGGAGGTTCAGATACAAGTAAGCGTCTTGGATGGTAAATGTCAAATGCATCATTGAACACAACAATACAGTAAGAGAAGTCTTCACAGTAAGACATGCTCCAGTAAGAACAGGTCAGCTTTCACCATGAGTTAAAGGTGCATTGTGTAACTTTTCTGGTGATGCTTTTCTTTGTGGAGATGTGTTGCTTTGTCTGGAATGTTTCACAGTATGGCATTAAACCTTTCTATCTTAATGGAGACCAAATGAGACCAAGTTACAGGTCAGATCTGTGGAGAGTCAGAATGCCTGTTTTTCTGTGTATTTTTGTGCTATAACAACCTGTTATTGAATAAAAGTAAGACAGAGCTGTTTAATGTCACACTGTGTAACTTTCCAGGCAGAGCAATGATATATCCATAGAAGCAAGCAGGTGACAGACACCCAGCCAAAAAGTTACCAAGTGCATCTTTAAATAAACTTTCGAGTGGTTTCTGAGTCAAATGTATCTGATCTCTTATTTAGGAAACTTTGTAAAATAAAATGACAAAAAAAAAAAAAATCATATTTTGAAAGAGAACCTTTTCACACACAAACTCAAACTGTTAACTACATATTACCTTATCCAAACAACAAATAAATGCCAGTAAATGTCACTTTTTTACCAGCCAAAGAGCAAACCCAGGAAGTAGCAGACAAAGATCTCCAGCTCCCCTTAGACTTTCACGCGTCCGCCCACAGCCGCCCCAGGATACCAGTGTCAATCAACAACAAGCAGCTACAATCAAATGTGCTATCTCCAGAACATGTGACCCGGGCCTATTTTTACTGCAGAGGAGGGGATGACAGCACCAAGCTCTGGGGACAAGAAATATGTGTATACATTCTCTTCACATCAAAAGCCTCAACCACGCGACCGAGCGCTCGCCCCGTGTTGGCATGCATGCTAAACTACCTAGCATACCTTTATAATTCACTTCAGAGAGGCTGTCTGGCTGTCTGTGGACTGGTTTGGTGTAAACATGACGTCATATAGGCTAACTACGACTTGGCTAATAGTTATTTTCGATTCAATTTATGTTCCTACCAGATAAACATTTGGCCTTTTTGATCTGGATGTTTATGCCACATAAGTTGATTTTAATACAAAAACTGATTGAGAGTTAATGTCTGAATGTTTGACTGTGCAGTGTTTTTGTTTTCATTGTGTTTTGAGTGCTTTTTTTGTCTATTTTTCTTTTGTATGTTAAATTTCAAAAAGGAAATAATAACTATAACAATATACTATACAAAAAAAAAAGTGATCTATTAGATGAGACAATGTGAATGAAACTTAATTAAAGATTTCACTCTTGTTTGGTCATGTTCATGTGTAATTGTGAATAATGTGATGTATTTCAATATAATGATAGCAACCCTGACATCTTAAATTGTGACATCTCTACTAGCTTGTTTTTGAAAGGTGTAAGTGCATAGGAGAGGGTTATTTACACAGTAAAAGTCATTCTGAAAGTGAAACTATGAGAAATTCAGGGTCAAAAGTACATTGATAACGTGCAAAATTGAAAGTAACAGCTCAGATGAATTGCTGATCTTGTTTAAAAAGAAAGTAAAAATAGTTGTGTAAAAGGATCTTAGATGTAAATTGCCTGTTGGTCAAATGTAAATGTTGTTCTCAGAATTGCTCTAGGGGAATGACTGTGTTTATCTAGTCCTGATAAGGTGCTTTCCAAAGCTCACTCCTAGCTATAACTGCAAATATTGTGAATGTACAAAAATAAAGCAATAACTGGTCTACAAGAAAGGTTAATATTGATTTCTAAAGTGACCCAAAATGCAAAACTGTTCTTTTAACTGTTTTGTTTAAAGAAGTTTAATATTTATCTATAACCTTTTTCAAGGTGCAATATGTAACTTTTCTGGTGGGCAGACACCTCAGGCTTATCTCCATAGAAATGCTTTAGCACTGTCTGAAATGAAGTGTAGCATACTACTTCTACTTATAGTGTTTTTTAGTCAAATATGCATTGGTTGTCTCCATGGAGATACATTTTCATTTTATGGCATACTGTTGAATATTCTCCATGGACAACACCAGACGGCAGACCCTCCATCAGAGTTACATAGAGCATCTTTTAGTAGAAGTTCTAATTTCTAACTTTTAATACGAGTTTTTCCATTTTTATAAACTATTCTCACCTTTTTGTCTCATATAGTCACAATATTTTAATTAAAGGGTCCATATTATTATTATTTTTACTATTTTCTGATCTATGTTCACCATCACAAGGTGGAACAGAGCATTTTGAGATTTGGAGATGTAGACATACTAATAATAAAGGATTATTCAAACATGTGTGAATGAAACAAAACACAGCTCTAGGTATGTTTTTGAAAAATGTAGCAACATTCTAAGATGACTTCAAGCTAACAAGAGTTAATTTTGCATAATGTAGGACTTTGTATTTGCCATTAATTGCGATTAAGTAATAACAAATATACGTTGTTTCCCACTTACCTAGCAGCTGCACTCCTCGTGTTAGCCCGTACACATCTATGAGCGCCCACAGAGACTCAGAGGTCCTCACTCCGCTGAAGAACAACATGGGGCTGGACTCATTGATCCTGTAAAAGACTCTGCCTTTCTTGTCCACCCAGAAGGCGATGATGTTTCCCTCGTTGGCGAACTCCTCGGGCAGCGCCTTGGCCCAGAAGCCGCTCTGGGACACGAGGTCGGGGCAGGCGTACTTGGGCAGGTTGTCCGGGTTTATCCTGGATGGGTCTTTGGAGGTGAAGCCCAAACGCAGAGCACCACTCCAGCAACACTGCTTCTTAGTGATCTGCAGATAAGATACACATAGAGCTGGGTTGAAAATATATGCAAGGGTTTATCTTTTTAGTTTGTTATTAAGTAGTGCAACTGCACTATTAAATAGTAATTTTGAATAGAGCAGTTATTATTTTTTTTATTTACAGTGTTGATATTTTTTCTGTCCTGCTCTGGTCCTGGTTTAGGCCAGGTATATTTCTGCATTAAGTTCCAATTTAGAAATTGTTTAGGTATACAAACTGTGCAAGTGACTAATACATTTTCATTACTACTATGTTTTAATCATTTTGATGGAACACAATAAGGTCGGTTGGACATATATCTCCACATATGTGGACGCCAGGTCCTAGGAAACCACGTGCAACACACCCTTTTTAACAACCTGTAATAACTTGTCTCCATGGAGATTTTGTGTCTGAAATGTTCCAGAGCATGTTAAAGAACCATACAATTGTACATATTCCATTTAATTACTATTATTAGTTTTTACAAGTTATTACACATTGCATTACTTCGAACTAGAGTAAAAAGTGCATGGGGGTGGACATTTTTGATTTGTATGTCGTAAAAGTACCCCGTTCATAAATCATTCTCAACTCCATGTCTGCTTTCCATTGCACTCCTCTGGCATTAGCCCCCATTATATCTTTCACCATAGTCTCTCTCTATGATGGACGACTCTGATTGTTTTGACACATTAAAAGCTCCCAGACTCTTGGAGCGACTGCTGTGCCAGGAACAGGGATTACCTTGAGCCGCACTTGTTCATACAGTGCTATGGGCCTGTTGCTGAACGTGATGGCATTGCAGAAACTGGCCTGTCTCTTCACAGTCTTCTGGGACAGGTCCATGACGATCTGGGATCCCTTGGCGCTCGGATGGAAGAGCAGGGGGCTGATGGGAAATGGGCCCCCCACACCTCCGCAGTGCATGGGTAGGCAGCGCTTGGGCTTGTGGTGGCATCGGTGGGATGTGGAGGGGAACGGACCGCCCAGGGAGTCTGAGAGAAAGAGGAAAAAAAGACAAGGGTGAGGCTAAAGAGTTATAGGGGTTATTTCCTGCAGTTGAAGTGACACTTTGACACTATGTAACTTTTTGGTTGGGGGTATGTCATCTGCTTGTTTCTGTTGATATATAACTGCTCTACTTAGAATGTTCCACAGTATGACATTTAACAGCTCTACCTAACATTTACTCAAATACAGGCATTTCTATTGCTCAAAAATACCTAGAAAAATAGGCTTTCTGTCTGTGAGCGGGGTTGTCTCTCCACAGATCTGACCTGTAACTTGGTCTGGTTTGGTGAAAAAATATTTTTTTGATGGATCCTCCACCAGAAAAGTTACACAATGCACCTTTAAAGTGCTTATGACAGATTTTTATGATTCTCCCTTTTTTTTTTTTTCCTTAATCTGGTGGGATAATACCTGTTTTAAACATACATTATATTATTATACAAATCAAGAAGCAATTTTTGAAAAAAGGACAGGAAGTAGATAGTTCTATTAAAAAAAGTTTGGCACAATTTAAATTAAAATATAGGTGTTTCTTATATTTTTATTTGTCAAATAATTATTTCTGTGTACATTAGATAATTTTTGGAGTTTTGCTGTAATAGGATTGCCAAACATTAAATTTTTAGCAAAATTTTAAATATGATGATCTTAAGTATGTTGAAGTAAGATGAGTATTCTAACCTGTCATGGCCACTTTAATAAAAAAAAACAAAAACAACACTTATTTTTCATGTCATTGATTCAAACGCAAAAGCTGTGTTCACCATTATTCTAGTTTAGTCCTGGTTTACAATATAGTCCTGATGTAGACTTGGTTTGGTCCTGTCCCTAGTCCTGGCTTAGCCCTGGTTTAGTCTAGTTCTACTTTAGTCCCAGCATTGATGTTTGTACAAGTGTAAACACTCCAATAGACTGATCAATGGCCAATTCCAAGTTATGGCTAAACACTGAAACACTACTCTTTGTGTGTCTGTTTTGTGTTAGAAATGCCAGTAAATACAGGTAGTTCTTTGAATATGGATGTCAGAATGCCATTTTGTCAGTTGGGGCTAAAAATGACCTTCACTTCCACATTCAAATGTTCTGTGTATTAATGCGTATGTTTCTATGCAAGATGACTAAGCAGAGTACAAAACACACATTCAATATTTTTCAAAGTTATGCAAAATAAGCTTCAGATGTAAGCAACTGACCTTGACCTATGAAACTAAGAACATTTTCATTAATTTAACAACTTCTATTATGTAAAACACAGAGATAATGAAAACAACATTAATTTTCTGTCTGCGCCAGAGTGATGTCAGATTTGTTTGATAATGATTTGGCAGATATTTTTGCTGATGAAACATTTTAGAGAGTCCCACAACAAAGAAGAGTCAAAGGAAACAGTCAGCATGGAGCATCAAAAAGGCCAAATAACTTTTGTCTGATTCAGCAACTTCCATGTTTATATTCTTGATCCCAGCAGTAGTCACATGACCTCACACTGGTATCTCTGCTCACCAAACATTCGAAAACATTCCCCTAGAAGTGAAAGTAAAATGAAATGTCAAATGATTAGTTTTAAAGAGCCAATATTACTCTATTTTCTGATTTACATTATAATGTTTCCTCATTTAGGCGACAGAAAACACTCTGTTCCACCTTGTTATGTCATGTGGTAATAGAGAAAGTGCTCCACTGTGTTTTTAAATTCCATACACTTCAATCACCACAGTGTCAATTGTACCAAAGGTAAGAGGAAGCTGTTGGCTTGAAAACTCCCACTTAATGACATCACAAGTTGAAACAGAGCATTTTGAGCTTTGGAGATGTAAACAGACTAATAATAAAGGATAACTCAAACATGTGAATGAAAGAAAACACAACTCCAGGTATGTTTTTGGTGAGGAAACTGCATTATAACATGGCTTAAAGCTCACAAGATTCAACTTTGCGTAATAAATTGTGAAGTTTATAGCTTTGTATTTTATCAGTGGTGTAAACTACAGTGTACAGCAGCATTACATTTGCAAAGAAAAGCTGGTTATTGGTGCATTATTTTCCAGATAAGTCAGATGAGAGTTTTTTTGTCCAATCTGTGAGTAAAAATGGTTTAATCAGGTGTTTCGTTAAAGAGTGCAGGGACAGGTAAGCCAGTACAATCTCCAGGTCTACCATCTGATTTGAAAACCTGCCCACAGATTTTACATACATTTACACAGACTGACATGAACTTTGTGTCCGACTCACAGCTGTGGATTAAGACCATTTTACTTGGTTTGTGTATTCATTTCTTAGAATACATTTGCCCTGAAGCCAATCATGGAGTTAAAGCATCTTAAAGTTAAATTATCTATGATTTGATTTTTACAAGTTTAGATTTTAATTTTAGCTGTCCTAGATTTTTCAAATTGTTTCAGAATATTCCAGACACGTATTCTGACCGAAGGAACAAAATCTGTCAGTTAGAAAATTGCACCTAATCAGTCATCCAAATAAGTCCATAAATCTTTACTTGACAATTTCATAATTTAGCTTGAAGCATGTCCAAAATTCTTGACTTAAAAAAATCTACAGTAAAAAATAACAAAATAAGATAAATACTTTGAAGTTGTAGTAGCTGCTGACTGATGTTAAGAGCGGGGTTCGAACTGTCAACCTTAGGATAAGCGGACAAACACTGAGATACTGTCAAAAAAAAAAAAAAAAAAAAAAGCCTATAAGTTTCGAAGTCTGAACTCTGCTCCAAATCACATGCCTTTATTGAGAGAGGATCAGCTGTGGACCTTTCGATTAAATTGACGATTAGAAATGACTGAATCTCAATCTAATCAATAAAACTTGATTAACTGAACAGCCCTTTTCTGAAGTCATTTTCACTCATGCCCAGTTTTTAGAGTGTAATTCCTAAGAGCCAGAGGAGAAGTGGCTGCCTGCCGAGACTGAAAGATGTCTTACAGAATACTTGACTTGATTTCAGTGAATTCATTTCAACTGCTTTTGCCTCAGAGTGGTACTTGAGCAACTAAAAAACTACATGAACCCAAACATGTTCGCAGACGTCTTACAGAGAGACTGAACTGCCAGATAGAAATGAACAAATCAGCTTTCAATACATCAGCGATTCACAACCATTTCAAGACACACAGTTTTAAAGCTTTTACATTACATATGCTATGTTATAATGTTAATACCTCCTCAAAAACATGTTTGAGTAATCCTTTATTATTAGTCTGTCTACATCTCCAAAAGCTCAAAATGCTCTGTTCCACCTTGTGATGTCTCGGAGCAGTATTTTTCAGACACCTTTTACCTTTAATTCAGTAGTGACAGGAAATTCCAAGGCTGAAACTATCGAAATGATTCTAGTGAAAGTGTACTGAGTTTAAAACTAAAGTGTAAACTGTATTACCACACATGACATCACAAGGTGGAACAGGGTGTTTTCTGTTTGAGAGAACTCAGTGTAAATATGTAGGGTTTATATATGTGTAAATGAAACAAAACTCAAGTCCAGGTATGTGTTTGATGAGAAAACAATATTATAACGTAGACCAGAGAAAAGCTAAAAGAAATAATCTATACTAGTAAATCACCTGGGCAAGAGAAATCATCCACAAATGAAGTAAACATGTACATTTTAAAGTTTTAGTGATGACTTAATGTTCCTGTATTTTGCCAAAGGGAAAAATGGTAGTAACAGACCATTTTCCCTGGCATTAACACTGTAGTGGTTTTGTACCCATTCAAACTGCTTTTTATTTTGTTCATAGAAGGGGAAAAAGAGCATGCATGTTTGGAAAATCTTAACTTTTTTGTCTATTTATTCTGAACCAAAACCGGTGGTGGAACTTAACCTTGTGCAAGTAGTAAAGTACTGTACTTAAGCAAAAAAATAGGTCTCTGAACTTTACTCAAGCACATTTTGAAATAGGTACTTTTTAATTTTACTTCATTACATTTGAGAGCAGGTATCTGTACTTTCTACTCCACTACATTTTTGAACAGAACTGAAAAGTAAAAGTATTTTTTATTGTGTGAGACCTGTAGAAAAGGCTGAGGGGTTTATTTTTTATCAAATTAATAAACTGAGCAAACAAAAAGATACAAATGAAAACAGAAAAAAAAAAATCCATTATTTCTGCTGAATATTCAAAACAAGTATTCTTTAACAAAATTTGATGACCCCAAAAGCTGTGCAAAATATTTTTACTCTTTACTCTTTAAGAACATTTTTGAATTTGGTACTTTAATACTTAAGCAGATCTTGTCATGTGACTTTTACTTTTACTTGAGTATTTTTTGCTCCAGTATCTGTACTTTTATCTGTACTTCTTCCACCACAGACCAAGACAGCTCCAAGTAGTAAATTAGAAATCACCAGTAAATATACATTGGGTTTAGCCGACACAATAATGCCTTAGCTTTGGTTGACTTTACAACTTGATAACGTCTTTTGTAATTCTGACAGATGAGGTCACTGTGCTTAGATGTAAGCTAACACGGCTCACAGCAGGTGTCTTGTGGAGGCCTGATAAGAGCGTACAGCCATAGAAGCGCTTTGTGCCCTTTCTGGCTATTGTGTCCCTGTTTATCTAAATGGGGCTTCCAGTTTTTCAGTGTGCGTACTGATGACTATGGCCCCAGCCGAAGCAGTGTTGTAGTTTTTTGTTTTTTAGCTTGATCCACAGGAGAGCGGTGCTTTCAATGGCGCGGGCCAGATTGAGCTGAATGCATTAGCTTAGCTCTAAAGAGGCGCAGCTGCTAGAGAGGCAAACAGTAAAGTGTGAATTATGTTCCTTAGCAACCTGCTCTATCTACAGGTCCAGATCACAGCGTTAGATCTGCCTGTGGATACGTCTATGACAAAAAAAAAAAAAAAAAACACATATTTTTGAATGAATGATAAATGTAATCATTATAAAAATAATAAGTGACAAGTATAAAACATCTTTAACATCTTAGTATATAGTGCTATAGCACAATTGTAGTAGTAGTAATA